TATACTTCATACATGTATGGACAAAGGCCCAATAATCATGAAAATGTATCTTTATATGCAAGGCAATCAATTCTAAACTTAATCTCTTAAATTTACATTTTAAGGTTGCCTATCAAGAATGCCCTTTAGAAATTTTCTGACTATTCGATAAAAGAATATTTTAGTGATTTAATCACCTTTCAAATTATTTCTCTTGTAAATCCTATGAGGAGTGGTTTTTTTTTTTTTTTGTTTTTTTTCCCCCTTCAGTCTCAGTTTTTGAGAGTTCAAATTTGGAAATGTGAGGCTCTGTATTTACCAAGAAAGAGTCTCACAACTAACAGGTCTGTTAACGAACACTTTATACAGGCCTGACTGAAGTCCCATAAAAACAGTGTTATTTTTTTCAGTCTCAAATTCAAATTCTTCAGTTTCTTTGCCTTTTAGCTATTTTTTAAAGGGAAGCAAGAAAAACAAACAAACAGACGCAACAGCTCTTATATCTTAATGTGGTCCAAACATCACCCCAAACACTCACAAAATATTTTTAAATAGATATGAAAAGAAAAGTAATTTTGGCATTTAGTAAATTAAATATAAGAAAAGAAATGTAGAACTAAACTGGACTCTGATGAACAGTGTTAATTCTCAACTTGATAGAATTTGGACTGACCTGGGAGGTGACCTCTGGGCATGCCTGCAGGGAATTACCTTGATTATGTTAATTGAGAAGACTCGCCCACTGTGGGTGGCTCCATTCCCTAGGCTGGGATCCTGGACTGCCACAGAGGAGAAGGAGCTGAGCGGCACCATGAGCGTTCTTTGCTGTTTCCTGACTGTGGATTCAGTGTGAGCAGCTCCTTTAGGCTGCCTTGACCTTCCCGTCACGATGGACCCTATTCTGGAAAGGTGAGCGAAACCAAACCCTCTACCCCATAGTGCTCTGTCAGAGTATTTGGTCACAACAACAGAAAAAGAAACCAAGGTGTGGCCAAAGGGGCACTGTGCACTTGTTGTCAGGAGTGCCAGGTACAGGTGAGTTTTGTCCCCTGCTCTCTTAGAAACCATGCAGATTTACAGAGGACTAGACAGCTGGAGGTCTCCTAGGCGCACCAAGATGGTAAAAACTTCCTCTTTTTCATAGTACACAAATCACAATAGAGATCTCCTCACAAAAACCTAGTTCTGTTTCAAATGGCTCAGCAGAACCCAAAAGCTGTCTTGCCACAGAGCAGACACTCACATCGTTTAAGGCCTTGTCTTACAAATGGCCTACTAGCCCAGATACTAAACACAACTGAAGTGTCTAAGAACTCCAAGAAAGACAAAGCCAGTCACCAGACGGAAGTCACATATGATTCAGAGGGAACCCAAACAATTCAAACTGACAGGAGAAAGAGAAGTCAGTCAGGGAGATGCTCAGCCATGACAGAGGGAAGCTCACCGAGGGTCAGACTTTCACAAGAGTCTAGAACCAAGTCCAAATGCTCATTTCTCAGCATTACCAGGTGGAGGTCAAAAGCAGCCGCCGCCAGCTGAAGTGGACAGAAAAGATTCTCTCTGGGGTAAAGTGACTGTCACAGCTGCTGGGAATAAAGTGACTGTCACAGCTGCTGGAACCCTTCAATCTTTCCTCTCCATTCGAGGTCAACTTGTGAGTGGCTCAGGCTAAAAATGTGTTTTCCCTCTGGACTGGCTGGACAAGAGTGTTTCCAGAGTTGTTAAGGCAGAGCTTGTGCCCTGGAAGCCCTCTGTGGGCCAGGTTTGGCCATTTGTTCTCAACAGGCCAATTAAAAAGCAGGTAATAGATAAAGACAGAAAAGGATTCAGTGTGGCTCCGCGAGGAACAAAGAGGTCCAGCGACCCCCCGACTAGTCCATTTTCGCGGTCCTGGCGTACAATTTGGGTTTAGACAAAGGGTTGGAGGTGTGCACAGCCAAGCTGTCCAATTAAGACGAGGTCCCGGCCATCACTGACCCATCATTGTCTGGGCTCCACTCTCTCCTGCGAGGTGATGGTCAGGCAAATTGTCAGAATGTGTGGCGTCTCTTTCAAGAGACAAGCTCCGTACTGTGTGGTACCAGGCTTTAGACTCCTCCTCCCAGTGTGGGATTTCTGGAGAAATTCCAGTTCATTGGTGCAGTCTCAACAGTGTGGTAGACAGGCACAGGTGTGTTCATACGGTCAGGCCAGGCACAGTCCATTCTTGTTCACCTTCTCTGAAATGGCACACACGCACATGAGTCCACATATACATGCACATGCACACACATGAAGTAATCATACAGAGCAGGTGAATGGAGGCCAAGGTAGGACAGACTGTATGATCATCCATGTTGTGGAATATTATTTTAAGTTGTGTTGCATTTGTTTAGGCTATGGAGCATTTGCTTTAATGATGCAAAGATGTGTTGCAATACTTTATGCTGCATTTGTTTAACTCTGTGAAGCTGTTTTACTTTGCCTGCCTAAAACACCTGATGGTCTAATAAAGAGCTGAATGGCCAATAGCGAGGCAGGAGAAAGAATAGGTGTGGCTGGCAGGCAGAGAGAATAAATAGAAGGAAAAATTTGGGAGGAGTAAGAGAACAAGGAGAGGAGGACACTAGGGGCCAGCCACCCAGCCACACAACCAGCCATGGAGTAAGAGTGAAAGTAAGATTACAGAAGTAAGAAAAGAAAAAAGCCCAGAGGCTAAAGGTAGATGGGATAATTTAAGAACAGTTGGCTAGAAACAAGCCAAGCTAAGGGTGGGCATTTATAAATAATAATAAGCCTCTGCATGTGATTAATTTGGGAGCTGGGTGGTGGGCCCCCCAAAAAATTAAGAGTCAAAAAAGTGAAAAAAAACAACCAACTACACATCCATCCATAGGGCAGATGACGGTGAGATCTGTCGACACAAAGCACCTGTGTCATCATGGACTGTGCAGAGAGGGCAGCTGTTAAGCCAAACTTCTAATCACTAGGGTCTCATAGTGCCCTGTGTACCCTGCAGAGAGAAAGCATATTCTGTAACAATTATACCCCAGGACGCTGCTGAAAACTGGAAAAGCAAACTGAGATCTGTTCATGCAACCAACTCACAAGAGTCATTTCATTTGTTGTTATTTGTGGTGCCCGGTGTCACGTGTGCGTGCGTGTGTGCGTGCGTGTGTGCGTGCGTGCGTGCGTGTGTGTGTGTGTGTGTGTGTGTGTGTGTGTGTGTAAGCTTCCCACATCAAGAACTCCACTTTTCCCTATGGCTCTCTCCTTATCCTACAACCCTCCCAATGCTGCTGGAGTCTGGCGCCCTCTGGTGGCAGGAGGCCTGGATGGTCTGCATGACCAGTTACAAAGGACGGGTGTTTCCTCTGCGTTAGCAGCGTGGCTGGCTGGCTCTAGACCACTGTGCCGTGGACCCCACCGGGACCTTGGCTCAGGCTCCCCAGAACCCCAACCCTTGCCACACCTGCTGACTAGATCAACGGGTAATGTACAGCCGGCTGAGATGGGTGAGGCTTCAGGTCCAGACTGGATATAGGTCCTCTGAGGACTTCCTGTCCAGCTGTGTACTCGTGTCCAAAATTACTTGTGCACACCCCAGGGTCCACAGAAAGCCCCGGGATTCATGGCTGTCACCTCTGCTTTGAGTCCTATGTCCTTCTCTATTCTCCAGACCTCAGGATGAGGTGAAGGGGGTAGGCTTTCTCTGCAGGAAGCACACGTAGTGTCCAGGAACGAGCTGTTAACCCAGCACATTCTCAATAGCAGCACAAAGGGCAGTCTCAGGTCCACGCTCTATAGCACTGCATCCACACAACCTCATAGGAAAGTCCAACAGTGTTGTGTCCCCAGAACAACACAGGACAGTCACAGGCTCCCAACGTGAAAACCCAGCCTGCAATTTCAGGACACGTGACACCGTACTTTTCACAATACAATAGTTGTGGTGGATGAGGGTCAGTGTGGTCATCTGCCAGTCATTAGATATGTATACAGAGAGAACAAGAGTGGGCTAGAGAGAGGGGGAGGGGGAGGAGGGAGTGAGCAAAGGAGAAAAAGGGGGGAGAAAATGGAGAGAGAGAGAGAGAGACAGACAGACAGACTGGAGTTCTGTGAGCACTTTCAGAAGACTTTGCTCCTCATGGCTGCATTGTGATCATGCTTTTGAACATGCATGCCACTAGCAGACACACCATTAGCAGAACTACAGAGAGCCACCCCCTTCCCCAGAGTGAGGTAAACAAAGCGTGTTCCTTTATGAAGTTGATGGTTCAGATTTTAGCCAACCTTGGAAATGAATCCCAGGTGCTGGCGATGACAGATCAACACTTTTTGGAACACGTTCTTTATTTATATAATAAAAATATGTTTCGATTGTCTAACACAATTTTGGCATGTGAAACTGATCTTTGTTTAACCTATTAGATGGTGTTGAAAAGTGGCCTGGGTTCTATGGAGGAAACATCCACTATGAGCGGGAAGAGCCCCAGAGTCCTGGAACCCATGGGGAGTTGAGGGAGTCAGTGAGGTTGAGTGCCTCCCAGAGGAACAGAACACCCAGAACTCTGCTTCCCAGAGCTGTGGGTCAAAAGAAGATGTGTGTGTGTGTGTGTGTGTGTGTGTGTGTGTGTGTG